CCCCAAAACCCCAAAACCCCAAAACCCCAAAACCCCAATGTGATATGACAAGATTGAAACATGCTCTGGCAAGGTTTATATCATTCCTACATATGTTACCACTACCGCTGCTATGGCTACTATAGGGGTCACGAAGGAGCCTCTGAGTCAAACTATATTAGCATTAGACAATTAGCCAAGAATGTAAGGAATCTACCTTTGTAGTACTCTCCGTAATCATGATGGTATTTCATGACTTTTTCAAATCAGTCGGGCTTCTTGAGCAGCTCAACATAGTGCTTCGCTTCAAACTCAGCTCAGTACCAGTCCTTATATTCAGGAGTGTCCATTCAGGGTCCCCACATCTCAGAAGGGTGAAACTCAGGAGTTTTGTTAAGATATTTATGGAATTTGGTGATGACATTGGTCCATTCCTCATCACCTCCAGAAATGTCTCAGTATTTGTTTCCATCTAACGAGCACTTGCATGATGAGGTAGTCGAGTCCGTATTGGGGCAATCAGCATCAGACGAGCATGTATTCCCTTTGTTGACGGATTGAGGCCCATTTTTACCTAAATTCGGGTTAGAAAAGGAAATTTTGATTCAGAGTAGTTACATTTGCCATTGGTTGAGTCTAGAAATCCGGACTTTCACACCTTTTCAGAGTGCTGCTGGTAGAGGAAAGCTCCGCTTCTGTTTGCCTGCACCTGAGCTCCGTTGCTCCTAGATGAGTTTAGAGGTAAATGAGAAGTTAAGGAAATATCTCCAACTTTAAATCAAAGAAGGAAATTAAAAATTCATCTCTACTTTGACTGGAAGGTGCAAAGAATTTTAGGAGGAAAGACAGTATAAATGTAGTAACTTGAGCCGAAAGGATGAAACTTTGATTAGATTTGTGCCTGGTTTGTTTGATATATTCTTAACCTTCATTTTAATACGAACTACCTTGTTTTTAATACTTACTCCACAGACCCATACTCGACACAGTACCCAAAATCAAGTGTAGCATCAGGGAAGAGGCAGAATCCATCTCTTCCTCATGCTTCATGTGCTTTGCAATAGTGGCCGATGCCGACTTCAGGTGTACATCTGCCTGAATCACAAAAATTTCCCTTATAGACAAATTTACCTCTTTCATTGTCATATTCCTTATTACCATAAGTATATCAATCAGAGTGTCTCTCACATTGATCATAAGTGTGTTTTCCCTGACAGACGTAGAAGGAGTCCTCTTTCTTGTTGAATTCAGCAGCAGACACTGTGGGCCCACAGACTTTTTCACCAAATACACACTTTGCTTTATCATAGAAGCTAACACTTCCAACTATGTGTAAGGGAAACCTTACCGTTTGCTTGGTAATACCCGCAGTAATAGCCAGGGTAAAGGAACATCTCTGCCTTTGGGTCACTAAGTTTGTGCATTCATTCTGAATGTGAAAATTCAGTATTGTAATGTCAGACCTTATTGTCCTCTATAAATTACACAGGCGATTTACCTCAGAATTCAGGATTCACAGTGACTGATGTGCCTGAAACAGCTAAATTAAGGTTATCACAGTAGTCTCTAGATGACATCCTTACTTGAACATGCTTTGTGGTTTTTAGAACACTCCACCTTCTGGCACGTCTGTGCTTGTGTCAATGAGACTAGAAGGGCTGTAAAATAGACAACCGCTTTCATAATTTTTTGTAAAATATTATACAATCTTTGATTCTTAGGAAGGGGTTTTGGGGTTTTGGGGTTTTGGGGTTTTGGGGTTTTGGGG